ATTTTTTAATTTTTTTTGCTGAGGCTGAGCTCGTAAACGTTCTTAAAAAGACATAAGAAATTAGTTTTCAGTTCATCACTTTCACCTTCGTTGTCTCCCAAGGCCACTATTAATAGAGACGAAAACATTTCGCTCCTGCCACTCAGCACACACACTTGCTCTGAAATTATTTACTCGAGAAGTTTTTTCTCCACAAAATTTGTATTGATACAAAAATTCTAGTGAAAGTCTTGATAAAGAAAAAAGGTCTATATGTAGAATCATTTGAAACTGTTTATTTTATATTCCGCGTTATCAGTGACATCTTATTCTTATCTTTTGTTCAGATTGCTTCTTCTCGAAACTTACGCGAATTCTCGGCATTTTTCTAAAGTTTGTTGCCCTTATTTACGCTGTTTATCCGTATTAAAATCTGCTTTTGTTTAAAAAATTTATTGTTATTATTTATCATAGATACGTCTTATGATTCATACATTGTTTGGTTTCCATGGAGTTTTTAGCAGCTACTGTGTATATTTTTTTACTTAGCATCACTCCTCTCTGCATATCTGTTTATTATTATTGCTACAGTATGTCAAACAAAGTTGGGCAAGAGTCACTCACGATTCATGTGGCAACTCGGGCTCTTCGTATACAACTAGTGGGTGGCTCGAACCAGGTGCAATTTACACAGACGTAGAAGTGTGTGGTTCACTCCCGATTTGGCTTAAGGCTTGAGCACGTTTTAGAATAATTCTATCCTTTGCACGTCTTCCGCTTTACCGAGTTATGGTTTGGATGGAGCAAATGCAGGAGAGAAATTCCATCAGGCCTTGAGTTCAACGCGGGGATCAAGAAGATGCGAAGTAACCCTGCTGCTGTTGAGCCAATGATGTCAAACGTGTCTTAAAAATTACCTATGTAAATAGGACCTCAGACATAATAGCCCTTGGAAAGATGATATCCGGCTCAACTTCTTTATGTGATAATTGTGTGGAATCGTCTATACTATCGATAGCCATCCTACTGTATTACGAGTGTCATCACCTGTTGTCCACTATCGCATGACAAATTTACTATCGTGCAGTATTCTGGTACAAGGCTATTGTCACAATTTGAATTTGAATACAAAGAAATGGAAAAGGAGGAATATCGGTCGGTGAAACAATTCTTGTCGTTAGAAGTGATATTGCGCAGTGAAATCTAATATACTTTGTATGGCATATACGGTAATTCTTCTTCGACGGCGACCGTCAAAAAAATGTTTATAGAGTTTCAATACCGGTTTTGCTTGTTAATAACACTGTGGCACATTTTTGGTGTTATTGTCTGGGGGATGAGAAATTCCAAGTCAGGGTGACGGTAATAGGTCAGTATAGTAAAACCCTCAAGGGATTTTTCGTTCGTATGTGTCAGTTTTTTTTTTAAGTACCATCACCTTGACTTGGAATTTCTCACCCCCCCCGGTTAGCTGTAGTACTGTGTAATAAGAAATAGGCCTCATCGTTGAACAAAATTTGACTCGAAAAGGTCGGATCTTCTTGGAACTTTTCAAGAGCCCATAGAGCGAAGCGATATCGCTTAGGAAGGTACAGCGGATTTGATTCTTACACAAGCTGTATTTTTCAATCTTTGATTTTAAGCGGTAAAAGGCGCCTAGTCGTTCCATACGTCAGTCCATGTTGCTACGAACGGCGCCAAATCGACTCTCCACTGTCTTCGTGTACACCTGAGTAGGCCGATTATGTTGACCATAAGTTGAGCGAAGTGCGCGAAATATATTCTTTCACACTTCGTGGTAATAACGGTTATAACTGTTCAGATTATGAAAATCAACTTCGGTAATAACGGACACCCTAATGTACATTTTTATATGTGTGTGTTTGCGCTATCAATCAATCAGCGTACACACTTGCATAATCAACTAGCGTACTTATTATAGACGTGCAGAATTTATATTATGCAAAAATTTCTAATAATCACAATAAATTAATTTTTTTCCTCTCTGCTGTTCTTTACTTTCAGCACACAAATTAAGATATCAGAAAACATTAGGCAACGCAGAATTGCAAAAATACCGCGACCACATATTTTTGTATGGCTGAGTGTGTTCAACAAAACAAAGAATTAAGAACAAAAGTTAGCGGATATAAATTATTCCAATCATTCAAGCATTCAAACGATCTAACAACGATTACGCCGTACGAAGCAACTGTCAATAAAAGTCAAGCAACAACACATACTTGAATAGCAGTGGTAATAATTTCGCGTGTTGCAAGCCCTCACCTGCGCAGCAACTGCTTCAACGTCGCAAAAGCCCAGTTTAGCAACAGCAGCAACAACATGAATAAAGCCGGCAAGCATATACAGAGTGGTATCGGTGTGACCACATCACCCAATGCCGTCAACTCAGTCGGTGCGCTCTCCACACAAAAGAACGTCATCAATTCCATAATGAGTTTTTTACCCGACAATCGACCCATTACGTCGTTGCAAATTGTCGAGGACTATGAGAAGTACGTATAAATATCGTTGCAATACATGCATTGGTATATGTTTATAGATTGATTTTTGTATATAAAATATGTATTTGTTGTGTTGTCTATAAAGGGTGTGTTTTTTAGAGAAAGATTTCGTATGCGGATAGCTGTTAAATCAGCTGGCTGTCATTTATGTGCATTCAGGTGTCAAACTAACTATTTCACATTTCATTGTTGGTATTAAAAAATTATTACCCCCTGAGAAGCGCCGCAGAGAGAAAACAGCATCCTTTATCCTCCCCGAACGCAATGAGAAAAAACTACAAAAAATTGTTACAGAGCAACCCGGCTACCCTGAGAACTCTGAGTCAAGGGAATCGTTCCCGATTTATTCACCTGTCTCGACAATTTCAATTTCACTTTGTTTGACTACTTGTTGGAAGGATAGTTGCAAGTCAAGCGCTGACTGACCAGTTGTTAATAAAGATACGCCACCTTATTACTGAGCTACGACCGACTATCTTAAAGAAGTGGCGCAGAATTGGACCTTAGCGCCTGTACCTCTAAAAGAAGCCGTCCAAATTTTGTTCAATGACTGATATTCAAACCAAAAAAAATTCAAAATATAGATTTTTCTGTATTTTTTTAGAGATATAAACTCTATAACTCTAAAAAATCGCCATTTATAAGTCATTGTAAGCCGCAAATAAGTGCTGCCATGAGCCAATTTCTTTACAATGTATTTGATGGTTGTCTAAGAAAGCGTGCCAGTTGCTTGTTGCCCGCAAATTCTTAGCTACACTTTGGCTAATGGACTCACTTATGTCGTTGCTCAGTTTTGCTGTTAACGTTGGGGTGCTCTTATGTATTTGCTCGCCGCTATTGTGGGCACTCGTGCTTGTGGTCGCATAATTAGCCTACTTTGCTTCCGCATGCATGCATTTTTCTTGAAATTCCCTAACTAAGTATTATTTGTAGCAGTTTCGCCTTCACTTTGACGCTGCTAACATTCTTCGATACACTTGTGTCTACTCAGTATATACGAGAAGGTAGTGTACAGTGACTCAATAGTGGAGTTTATGCTAGAAAAATATTTGCACCACGGCAATATTAATTTCTTATTGTTAGATTAAGTAGTAAACCTGGTTTCAAGTTTAATAATTTAGACAAAAAGTCATTATTGAGGTGCCGGTACTCTGTTAAGCTGAAAATATTAGGTATGTTAAAAAAAAATGCAGTAATTGCATAATCCACCACTCTCATGGATAGATAATAAATTTGCAGGCTTTGCACTGCCACATATATAGTCTATTGTAACCTTCCCTATATCACATACTGTTACAAAAGTCCAGCATCCTGAACAATTCCAAGAGCCTGATGAGCGCGACTGAGATGATGTGATCCCTGCCCACGTAGAAGGAACCTAGGGCTTTGGGCCTGCTTCTGCAAATTGCTTTACCTACTATAGAGCGCCGCAAGGGCGGAATTTTGAGATTGATAATTTCCTTAAACCTTTCAAGGTTGTACTCTCCCAGAAATAGCTTGGCATGGCGCATTCGTGCTGTCTGCTGCCAGTGTTGTTCTATTATTAATTACTGCCAGCCCACTGTTCTTCAACGTTGACTTCATTTAAAATTAAAATGTACGCTTCTTATGCAACAACAACTCATTCCCAGCAATTTTGCACGCGTAGCACTTGATTGCGTGCTTTCGATATCTATTTCATTGCATTGCAAATGCAAGTCTGTGGAAATATTTTTATTTTTATTTAAAACTGCATATTTTCTGCTTCTAATTCATATTTTTTGCCACAACTTCCAGATGCCCCAAGAATTTCACACCCATACATCGTACTTATGATCAAGATGCCGATGCAGATTTATGGCGTGAAAATATACTCTTCGTCCGACACACGAATACGCGCTATTTATGCTTATCAAAGACTGAGGGCTTGCCAGAGTATGTGGTGGAGACGCTCAAGTGAGTATACAACCTAAATGAATTATTTATTATACTCATGAAGTCATCAATATTAGGGTGATTAAAAAAGGAAATTTTCATTTCACCCTCTCAAATATTTATATTTGATGTAAAAAGAAATCTCACGAAACAGGCGCACTATTACCACACTCAAAGGAGTGCCTTGTTCTGATTACATCGGATTGGAACCGAGTTGGGTCTCCCCTGTCGTCTTTATTTAGCGTGAGCTTAGCAGACAGCCAGATCAATAACTAGCTCCTGTGCGACGGCGAGATCTTTTGCCAGCTGCTAACAGTTAAAGTTGCCTAGAGGATAGTAAAATTGAAACATCCAGTCACTTTATCATAAATTGTCTAACTTTTGGCCGCCATATCTTCGACGAATCTAGCGAAACAACCTGTGTTAATAACAGCCGCCTCGACAAATTTTTGGCAAGCCAAAGCGGCTTTGTCGCTTGTTGAGTGTCCTTCGCTCAATACTTAGCTAGGAGTGTTTAGGTATCATAATGGACCAGGGTCTCAGCTGTCGAATCGGCAACCGTTTTCGGATTGATTTTTTTTTCTTTGTTGAAGCACCCTAATATATACATATACATATATAATGTGCAAGTGTGGCGATGTGCGTAACTGCTTGAGTATACAGTGCATTCATTGTTTGCACAAATTTAATTAACCAAAATTGTTTATTTTCTAATTTTTTGTTGTTTTTTTCGAAAATGAGCGGATGTGCACGTAAAGTGAATGAAATGCTTGGTGAAAAATAGACTAAGCTATTTTTTTTTTGTTTTGCCTTTTATTAATAATTTTCGTTAAACAATTTGTTTTTGATTTCGTGCTATTTTTTTTTTTCTTTTTTGTATTCCCTTTTGCACACTTTCTTATATTCAATTGCACTTGATGCTTTGCGCATCGCTTCTCACTTGCATTAAGCACTCAATAAAGTGCATTTTCTGTGTCTTTCCGATTTTTTTTTTTGCTTTTTTTTGTTATTTTTTTTTTACTTTGTGTATCAGCAGACCTTTAGCTTGATAAGGCTTGTAGTAGCGCGCCGTTGGCACCACATCAAAGCAATTGTTTGCATAATTGACTATCACTTGTCCAGTTCAATATGTATACAACTGGGTGAGACCTTGACTAATTAATTCGCTATATTTAAATTTACAATAAACAACAACAGCAATGCTATGGTAAAGCTCCCCATAAACCTAACTTATAATGTGGACATAATTTTATTTGTTTTTTCTTTTGTTTTGCTACTTTCCATAATATGCCTGCTGATTGAGTCAGGCCTCAAAACTTGCTTAATTGGGAACGCAGACGCACCTGTGCGAATTTACCTAGGCTTACAATCTAATTTGTAGCACAAAAAAACGAAAAACTATTGTTTTCTGGAGCTTGCTTAAAAAAATAAGGAAATTACAAACAAATAACAAACAATTGATTTCTGTTTATAATCCGTAATTGGCGTGCAACGAGGCTTGATCTAATTGTTCGAGTTTGATAATGTTTTATCTCAAGGTAAGTGAGTAATTGTCTACTGTCTAAGTGAGTAGCTGTCTACTCGGTTTCTGTATGCATTGATAGCTTCGTACGAGATTGGTCCAATTAGTGCTTAACCTACAAAAGAAACGCGATTTTGGGAAATTTTGTAAAATCCTACTTTCAACCATAGAGAGATATATAAAGAAGGTCCACACCAAATTTCAAGTTAATCGGTTCATTAGAACTTGAGAAATCATGTCGGAAGTGTTGAAAATAGTAGTTTCGAGGAAAACGCGATTAAAGACTTGAGTCTAACTGCAGGCAGTCTATACTTACATTTCGTTAACGGCCATTCCGGCAGAGCCGGTTTGCACGCTGCGTCACTAAAATAACGATTTTTTTTTTCAAAGTTCTAGACTCGAATACCCCCTTAACCTACAAAAGAAACGCGATTTTGGAAAATTTACTTCTGAATATAGTCTCCTGTTAGCTCGATACCCTTCACCCAGCCATGCTCCTTCTTAAACACGCTTTCCCTCATTCGATTTAACCGGCGTTTGACTTTTTCTTCTACGAAAAGGCGCGGCGACTAACGGAAGGTTTCAAGACCCAAAATGATTATCTAGTGGCTAATGTTCAGAGCCTACTGGAGTTATGGAGGCAAGATTTCTCTAGCTTGCAATGGAGGTGTAACACCTGCAAATGGCGGGCCCGATTTCCCAATGGATGAGCCGATGGATTACCGGCCGAGTCAAATACGGCGGCGAAGAACTGACAAGGTGCTTGCATCAGCTTCTTTGCAAGATATGCTCAGATGTGTGCTCTGCCCAACCCACAAAACGGCAAACCCCACAATCTGCGCTAATTACCTTGAGAAATGCGTCCTTGACAAAGCATATAACTGGTTGAGCCCTATCAGTGTGGCTTTAGATCTGGAAGATCTGCTATCAACCATGCACTAAATCTTGGAAAAGGCCCGTTAAAGGAAGATCACTACCTCTTCGTCAATTTTAAAACCGCTTTCGACAGCACGTAAAGGAACTGCCGTTATGTCTGGAATTCCAAATCCACGCAAAGCTAATACGGCTGTGTAAGTTGAGCAGGACCAAAAGCTTCATCAGGTTCGGGAAAGACCTATCCGAGTCGTTCGATAACAAGCGAGTTTTCAGACAGGCATTGTGCATTGGCAACGGCGAGTTCCGCAGTCGATGGAATTTGAGTTATACGAGTTATACGGCGATATTGATATACATAACTTCATGTAAATCAAGAGACAACGGCTGCGCTGACTATATCAAGTTGTTCGGATGGAAGTGAACACTCCAGCTTTCAAGTTTTTCGATTCAGTACCGGTGCCGGTGGAAACAGAGGAAGATATAGACCTCCCCTCCGTTGGAGAGATCAGGTGGACAAATACCTCGCTGCACTTGCTAAGAAGAAACGAATTTGTTGTTGTTAAGTCGACTTTAGCCACGTAAGCGGTGTCTACGCCAATAAAGAAGAAGAAAACTGAAGTTTTCCACTTTGTAAACCAAAGCAAGCGCTCAAATCTAGACAGCACGGTGAATGGAGGAGCGTTTTTGAACCGATGGTTGAGGAGTATTGACGGAGAAGCAGTTTTTTCGCCAAACGGCGGAAAAATGAACAAGGCGTATAGCTTTTTTACCCTCGTCTGAGTAAGCGACGTATATCACACCCTGTGCAACCCGGAAAACAATACCCATCACCTCTCCGGTTTCTTCGTCTTTTACGGAGCATGTTCGTCATGTGAAGTCAGTTGTTTCTTATGATTACCAGTACCCACTGGTACTCCGTCGACTGTCGACTGTCGACTGTAACGACATAGAAACTTCTTCGGAAGAGCATCAAACAATGATTTGGACTTATATCGCGATTGAGCTTGTTGCTATATTTTATTATTTCATGAGGATATGTATAAATAAACAGTAAATGGCAATAAAAAATGTAGTAGTACTAATACTTTCTATAAATAATCAATACCAACACATAGATAACGTTAATGCACATACTTATGAAAGCAAATGTCGCTGCATGAGAAGTTAATTGCTTGTTTTTATCGATATAACGATAAATGTGTACATGTACCTGTGCTAACGATGCGAAAAGTAAAATAATTTCATTATGAAATATTAAAAATGTGTATGTTATTTGAGCTGTTACGTAAACTTATATTTATAAATACATTATAAGTTTATAAATGTATAAATTTTGCAGTCGATCATTAACTTGTTGTAAAGCTTGTTATTAAACACAAAATATACGAGATATCTTCAATGTAAAAACTTTCCATATTTTACAAGTTAGCGTCAGTATTTCCCAACATAATGAGTCATTGAAGTTTTCAAAGAAAAAAGATGAATGCTGCTAAATGTGCAGTGATTAAAAGTTCTCGCATTACAAAATTTAGAAAATAAAGTTCAAATAACTGTGCTTTAGCTGTTACTTAGCAAATATGTAATCGCAGCAAGATAATAGACACATTTAATGGGAGACATAGATAAAAATAAAATAGTTTAATGAGTACATTCACTTGTCAAATAAAACATAATTGTCGACGCTAAAGAGGTTTACTGGTTGATATTCTTCACATAATTATTTTTTCTGAAAAAATGCTGAATGTATAGGCAGAGAGTTGGAAATGACTAAAATGGTCAAATACCTGGGTCACACGCTGAATTCTACACTCCGATGGAAGTAGCATGTGGACCTGACTACAAGTCTACAAAGGCACTCATGGAAGGGTTTGGTTGAGGGATTATCTAAGTGATAAAATACCACTGGCTCTTCTACCAAAACAGTAAATTTCATTACAAAGTTTAAAGTTACCCACAGCAATGAGGCGAAAAAGAATGATTCCACGCTGGCCTTACTGCTAAGAGAAAGCACCATAAAACTGGTACACCCACGGCTCGAAAATGTCAGAAGGAACTGGTGCAGGAGTCGCAGGACCGCGTACCAAGCTCTCTATATCCATGGGAAGGTTTTCAAGTATATTACAAAGGGAAGCTATAATTCGTGTGCAGAAATAAACCTCCAATGCAACTGTCGTCATGAAAGCATTGCCACACTCAGCGATAGTCAAGCGGCAGTAAAAGCGATCTCCGCTTGTGTAGTTAAATCGCATCTACTGCAGGAGCGTATAGTACTGCTGCACAGCCTATCAAATCGTAACCAAGTGCATCTAATTTGGGTGCCTGACCAAAAGTGTACAGCCAGGAAGAGAAAGACCAGACAAGGAGGTTGCTTATGGGTGGTTCCAATCACAGCAGGTTCAAAACAGTAGTCAATCACCCGCGAAATAAATTTCGACCACTTGTCGCCTTTTACACCGGTCACTTCAAACTCAGAATGCGCTTACATAACAAGGGAGTGACTTCTTGTTGAAACTGCAGTTCTGCGCCATGAAGTTAAAAAAAAAAACTTTTTAAACCATTACCGCAAAAAATTATTTACTAATAAAAATCTTTCATTTCATGCATTTCCAGAGTGATTCCCGAAAAGACACAACCACCCAAAGAGTTTTCGCTGCTCTCACGTACCGCCGATACGGAACAGAAGGCGTGGCGTAAACGTCAAATCGCCTACAAACTCACCAAACGCGGCAATGTCACACAAGCAGTCACCGACATAATACTTTGTTCCAAATTGAAAGTGGCACCGGAGGGTTTCAAGTTAGCTGGGTGAGTACAGACACAACACAACAGCCCTAATTCAATGAAATAAGCTGGCAGAATCCTAACTGATTCCCTTGCTCGCCTTTATTTCAGCGATATAAATGGTGTATTGATTTGTTACAAAACCAGCGCTATACCCATACGTTCGCCGCCACCCATACCGAATGGCGGTAGTATCAGCTATGGCAGCAGTGAGGTGGAGAAAGCGTTAAATCGTTTGAATTTGAGTGGTGGTGCGGGTAATTGGGGTGGCCCACCCAATCAGCCGGTAAGCATGTAAACACACACACTTGCATTTGTGACTACTGTAAGGAAATACGTGTACAATTTATTAATAATATATTTTTACACTTATTACTGCACTAACTGGCAGCTGCCGCCTGTGCCTAGCGACCATGACTACGAAGAAATACAGACTTCATATCAAATCAAATCACCACAAAGGCCTGCACCACGCCCACCAAGCACTGCAAATTGCGCCACAAACACATCGGGTCATAGTGTCGGCACTTTGGGCGCCTACTCGGAAGTTGAGGGTGTGCCATTTATAATAAATCCAATGCTAAAGCGTCAAACGGATAATGAAGTGAGTATGAAGCTGAAGTAGACGTCCACTAACAAAATTAGTTTTATATATTAATGAATTTTTAAATTTAATTAATTTCAAAAATTACAACTCCTTTCAGTTACCCACACTGCCACAAATTGCGGACGTGCTTAAAGGACTCGAATATGATTTTCAATTAGAGCGACAAATACTTTGCACCATGAAATCCTCAGCATCGAAAAATCCATTCTTTAAATAAACAACAGAAACCTAATATATTATTGAAAAAAAAAAAATCAAGAATTTCAAATTAGCTGTTATAAACAATGTTAAGAATTGATTAAAGAATTTAAAACAAATTTTGTCGCGGAAAAATTATGGCATGGAAAACAAAAAAAAAAACTTAAAATAAAAAATTAATTAACTTATGCTCGAATGCACACTAGTGTTTACATGACTATAGCGTGTTTAACAAAAAGCGTAAACTAAACTGCTTATAGACTTAAAAAACAAATTATATTCTAAACTTTTTGTGTTCTTTAATTTTTTTCTAGTTATAAATTTTACATGTTTTTCTATAAATTTACGTGCCACTTTACTATATACGATTTTCACAATTAATTCACAATTTTTCTTAAACAACTTAAATTGTATAAATATTTATATATAACTTATCATTTCTCCATATGTACTTGTGCCTTCCAGCAGTGTCCAAACAAACTATTTTCCATCCTAGTAGTCATTTAACTCCGAATTGTGCACCCTGCATAGTTTAATATGATTTATATTTTCATTTCATTTAGTCATAATTCATTTAGTTATAATTAAACAGCCTGCTTCGCTCTCACCACTTTAATGTACACCAATTATTGTGATCAATTTTTGTCATAACAAAATAAAAAGTTTATAAATAATATTTATTATAATTCGAAAGTTAGTATACAAACATACATACGTGTATGTGAAATCAAAAAATCGATGACAGCAAATGAAAATTTATTTATACATATATATACACATATATTTATAGAAAAAATAAGCTATTTACTACCATTATATATAAATATATACGTATCTTAATTTAATATAGTTTATTGTATACAAAAAAAAAGTAACCTTTAAATTGTGCGTGCATACACATAGGTATAAATTTAGCGTCGTGCATACACTTAGATATGTAGGTTAGTTGTTAACTGTAAAAGTATTAAATATTGGTTACTGAATTAGATTTGCAAATTAATAAACATGTACACAAAGCCAATATAAATGCAAATATTTAATATAACTCAATAAATTCATAGCAACAAAACTTTAATTAAAAATTCAATTTAAGCAACAGCGTTGTAGTGTTGTTCTTTCAAGGTATGAAACTGATATTATATGATCAAATTGTCTGTTGAAGTGAATAAAAAAGGTTGTAGAGCATTTGAAAATAAAATGCATAAAATTTGCCGAAAAATGTGTAATTTTATTGAAAATGTGGTTGCAGAAGAAGCTCTAGTATACATTTGTTTACAAATTGCTTGCGATACTGTCAATTTTTAATATGCAGTCCAACGTTGTTGCATGCAGCTGCATTGGTAGCGTCACGGCTGCATTCCAGTAAAGTGCCGTTCTACCACTATATGGAAGTCGAAGTTGTTAGTTTTTTGCTTGCTTTGATTTAGTGGTAATAATTAAAAAATGAGCTCATACCAGGCACAATGTATTTTAGCGATTTATATCTATTATTACTACTGGAACTTGTAAGGGCACTAATTGAGTTACGTTTTGGTACTGCATTTTTCATCAATGCATCGTAGAGTGCATTATCGATATCGCGTTGTACACAGAGCTGAACACGAGGATCTTGAATTTTTCGTAACTTAGCTGCTACGCCCTCGGCGAAAATTTCAAATTCATCCCTATCAGCTATTTGTGTTTGCTCAACGTCAGAAATTGTGTCACTGGACAGAGGATATTTGCTATTCTGTAATTTATATGCGCGGCAGAATGCGTTAGAAGCTTCCGCAATAGAAGTGTTTGTTGAAACTGGTGATGTTGGTGCTATGGTCAACGAGTTGCACTGCAAGCAATGAAATTAAATTAAGAGTCGTGTTAAGCATATGTATGTAATTATTGATGTAATTATTGATTTCTAAAAACAATTTACCGAATCATGGTTATCCACGAAGCGCATATGTTCGTAAGCAAACCATGAGGGCATTGCGTTCAAGTTACTGTATTGCAATTTTTCACGTCGATATTGGTTTCGCAATTCTCTCCACTTGCGTTCTATTTCGGAACCAATACAGCCAAATTCTGTGCCAATTTCACTGAAAACACGTCGTTTCTTTACAATATTCAGAAAATCAATGTCATGTGTGTCCCACAGCAATCGTTGCTGTTCGACCTTTTTAATTAATTTCAATGTTGTGTCAATATTCCAACTCTTATCGCGTTTTTCCATGATCTCTTTTAAGTATACAAAAGTTGCCTAGTCTTCTAAAATTTGCAATCTTCTCACTCTCTTCTCTTTCTCACACTGCTTATTTCGTTTACACTAGATTAGAAAATATAATCCTTCTTTATATGTATATATATATGTATATATTTTGCTTATATCTGGTGTATAACTTCCTTATAAAGTTTCAGATGTAACGAAATAATCAGAGCATAAAGAATAGGAGAAATCGCGATTTAAATATCTTATATTGCACCGGAAACTGAAATTTCGAACTTTTCAAATTTGAACCAACTGATTATGTTAGAATTGAAAACAAAGGTGGAACTTCAACGATTAAAGTTATCGATATGTTTATGCACTGTTCTCAATTTCAGTAAAAAGTAGTGCACATTTTAATTACATGATTGACCTTTATTTCTTTATGTAGAAAAATTATAAAAATAATTGTTGTTGCAATTGAATAATACACTAAGTTACAGCTTAATTCACACATAACTCATTCCAGCTACAAAATCAAGCCGAATCACTGAACACACCTAACGCCGTTGTATTAATAGTCGGCGCAGTATTCTTATTTGAAAGAGCAAAGTAGAGTACGAACAATCTACACGCCATTTTAAGTAATTGTGACAACCCGCAAGAAAGTGTTCTATCCTGTTTGTGACGGTAGACGGTAAAACGCTGTTAAATAATTCTTTAAACAACGCAAAAACGTGTGCAAGTCACAGTTTAACATACGGGCTAAGTAAAAAAAAAATAGTTTTTGTGTACTTGCAAAGTGTATGTAACGAATTGAAGTTGTAACAAATTTTCTATCGAGCCGAAAGAAAAGATTCTCATTGGATTCTGCTTCCTCTTCGCTTCAATTTCATACCCTCATACCGAACAGCTCTTCGGCGTTTTAGATACGTATGTATGTATATAATTGCAAAGAGAAGTAGTTGAAAAGAAGAAAAATAAAATCAAAAGGGGTGGAAGAATTGGAGCAGGCAGCTAAAAGAAAGAAGTGCGAATCGGAGGAGTAGGCGAGTTCACTGCTAAATAAAAGCAGCGAATAAAAGCGTTTACGAAAGTAAGGAACGCGTAAAGGAGACAACGCAAATTTTTCTAGTACTTGGGTGAATTTTTGCACTCAACAGCATTTTCACGGTACGCTTGCATAGGTGATACACACATACGTAGCATATAGTATTAAAATTGCGTGCTCTTGTGTGTGTGTGTGCGAAAGGTGCAACGAGATTGAACGGGTGTGAATTGTGTAGGAGAGCAACGAACTCGCGTGCAAGCGTCGAGAGAAAGGGTAAGCAATATATAATGGAATACTTGAAGTGTTTTTTTTGTTTTCATTTACGTTTGGTATCTCTTTTTGTTTGTGCGAATGCATTGAGGTAACCGGCACAACACTAATCGTTTGCTATCTATAAAAGCAGTTAATGTCTATAGTATTTATTTTTTGTATTGAAAGATAATGATATTTAGGTAAAGTGTTAATTTTTAATAAGCTAAAACATCGTTACTAACTTTAGTCAGACCGTGAATTGCATATTACCTGCTTGTGCAAAAGCCATTCAACTATACTCAAGAATAATGAGTTTTGCCATCGTTGTTGAAAAGTGGTCCCTTTTGCAATAACAAAAATATATCTCGATGCGCAGCAAAAATATAAACGAATACATTTGTGCAATACAAAAAATATACCTGGATGTGCAGTAAATATAAAACAAAAGTGGGCGTTGAGTAAAAATAAATGTCGCATTACATTTGATTAAATTAAAAAGTACACATAAATTTATCAATTGTATTGCCTGGCAATGCTATCTATTCTGCAAATTTCACTTTGACACATCACGTATACAATACTGTCTGCAGTGTCATTAGTTTATTCTCTCCCACGCATCGTTGTTTGCTAAAGCGAGAGCACAGTTTAGCTTAAGGTTCATGCTTGAAAAAAGGTTTGTCTTTTACGCATAAAGTATGTGTTAGATAAAGTCAACTATACAGAAATCCTTTGACTATGAACAATTTATTCCGTTGACGTGAATAGCAAATGCAGCGGTAGTAGAACCATTCAACGAGCAAACGAAGCTGAAAAGTAGTTGCAGAAAGACGACAGAAACGAGTGCAAAACGGAAAAAATTTTCGTGTCGGAATCATAAAATTTCTACTGCAAGAAAAGAAAAATATCGCTCTAAATAAGCTGAAAATTGTGTGAAAAATTGCATTAACAAGCATTTTATAGTTTGTTTATGATTAAGTGTGTGTATTGACGTATAGATTACATGGTAATCTTGTGGAAATTTGTATTATAAAAGTGTCTTCATACAGAAAAAGTCACTGAAAAGAAGAAGCATAAAATTTCAATTCTGGTATAGTGTGGTGGAGCTCCGCCAACAAAAGCAAAAAACGATACCAAACGGTAGCGGCGACTACATCGATAAAGTGGAAGTATTGAATAAGTGTCGATATAAAACGCCGATGTCGGATGGTATCTTGAAAAAGGAACGCATAAGGTAGAATTAATTTCAAAAAATTTCTGAATCATTGATTAAATCGGTTGTGAAAAGCACTACTTCGTATGAATTGTAGTAGTGGTAATGTGTATGTAAGATTTTGATTTAATAGTTGAAAGTAGTAGAAACATACTAAATAACTGGGGAAGGGTGGTGTTGCCCGTTTACCACTGGCACTCGACCTGTATTCGCACAAGTGTATATCACTTGATTTAATAGTGTAGATTAAATAAAATATACTAAAAATAACATCAGTATTATTACATCAGAAGGTTAAAAAGCGTTGTACCGGAAAAAAATATTTAGCCTATAGAAAGAAAATACTGCTTGGTAATAAGCT